TTAAACATTCCTTCATGAAAACCAAGCATATAATTTTACAAAAAGCAATTAATTGAAATTTGATTTTATTTATAGTGATAAGAATTATCTCATTTAATTTACATATATACTTACTAAAAACTCTTATTGATTAAAAATTTAAAAACTTATTACTTTAATTCAAAACTTTAAGAAAAATCGTCTGCGACTTCCGTTGTCTATTATATCATGGGGCACTTCGAAATAACTGTCTTTGTTTCTCATTTATACAAATTCGATTGTCCCTATAATATCTTAACCATAGACTAGTTCATATGTTATATAGCTCCTAGATCACTGCAGCCCTTAGTTATCTCACTCCTACAAAAATTTTCTTAAGTCCTGACCTAATGCTATCTTAACACCCAAATATCACATCAAATCAATCTCATTAGCTTCTTATCGCCTAATGCATATATACTAACAACTTCTCTCTCTCATGGACTAGAATTTTCTAAACTATAGCATAGTGACTAAGAATTTTCTAAACTACTATGTCCTTAAAACATTTATTTAAAAGTCTTAATTAGCCATTAGCATCTACCTATCACTAACTTGAGTCCGATCTTTGTATATTTAAACTTTGCTATCCTTCAGATTGTCCTTAATGCAATTCAATAGTTGTCTTTATTCAGGTTTGAGTAAGATATCGGTATATAATTACTCTAATCTTGTCTAGCCAACTTGCGTTCCGTAACATATAGGTTAACAGCTTTGTTAAATATATAGCCATTCTATATCCTTAAACCATTTCAAGTCCAGTGTCCTAAACTGTTCATTCTTTGCGCAATTGTATTTTGCAACTAGCTTCTAAACTAAAGTTTGTCTTCCTCAAGAGCTTTTCCAACGTTTGTGTCCTTAATTCAGCTACTAATTACCACCCGATCTTCTTATTACTTAGACCTTTTATCTTTGTTTCTTCTCAAAAACATTCTTTTTAAGTTCTACAACCACCTCATGATCGACCTAGGCACCTTGTTATTCCTTCTTTCAAATTTTACTATCCTTGTAATCATTTCATATTATGATCTAATCCAATTGGCCCCGTGATATAAATAGACAACTTTCAAAAACAATTTTCTACATAATAATCAATTTCAAATTATTTATCATAACACAACTTGAATTCAAAATTAAAATGGGGTTTTAAATTTAAATCAAATATCAAGTAAATAAAACAATAAAAGATTATCTTTGAATAATTTCTAAAGAAATTCAGTAGCCGGGCTGAATGCTAAAATACCGATTCCTAACCACCCAAAGTTCATCAATCCACTATACAAATGAAAAACCTATTTATTCTCTACACTATCATGTTCACTGATAGGAATAGAGCTCACATGAAAAGTAGTGCACTGGGTGATCAGGCCAATCCACTACCATCCAGATATTACTCTATTCCGTAACCTAAAGATTGATATAAGCTCAGGCCCCTGTAAGTATTGTGATAGACCTATCTTATTGTTCCCAAATTTCACTTCGAACCTCTATAGTCTATTAATCTACATAATAAGTGTGATATTCTCCCACCTCATAGGGTCTAGTGCGTCCACCATCCCTAGGGAGGAAAATCACAAGGTTTCCTTCCTTATGTTGGTTACGGCCGATCCCAACATAAAGAAATTTCCTATGCTCCGCAGT